CCGACGAGATCGCCCCCCTTACCCAGTGATTGTTTATTCGAACAGATTTGTATATCAGAGACTCAGAGACCAGAGAATTTCACAAGATGAACTTCTAGTTTGCTAGTTGACCTAAGGTTTTTGTTGCAGTCTGAGATTTTTGGAGGTTTCTTCTAAATTTGCTTTAGTATTGCTCTTCGTTGTCAGACGTTTATCCTTGACTTTCTAACCTTCTGTTGTTCTTCAGGCTATTTCCAATCAATAGTAATATGTCAGACATACTGGAACTATAAGAACCGGTTTCAAGGAACTACCTTTTGGATTGCACTACTGTTGTGTTGTACCATTTAGACCAAAATTTCATGCAGAAGGTTCCCATTGCTTACTCTTCCGTTCACCTTATTATTCTAAATTCTTTTATCAATTTGTTTCTATCTCGCAAGCAGAATTTGTGCGGATATTGCTTACTTTTGCGACTTTCACCTTCCAAACACGAACATAACTACTTCAAGAGCTTGTTGATTTCAACCCTTCGTGCATAATCGATTTCTCGAATTGATTCCTTGCGTATGATCGATATCAAACTGAGTGTGAGTATGCGATTGTATTAAGATACAGTTAAGCCTGCAACCTGTGCAAGCTGTAAGTTTGAAATAATTCCAAAGACTTGCTATGTGTTGATAAATCGTATTACTTTGAAGTAGCGTATGATTAGTGATACCTACGCATGTTGGACTGGGACTTGCTCGGCGATATGCGGTCGATAACTCTTTGCTTTACAGCTCAATAGATCGTCGCACTTTACTCGTGTTTATCTCTGTATCCGAAAAGTGGTGCAGATTATGTTCCTTAAAAACAATGTCATTTTTGAGTTATTTATTTTTACGAAGATTCCTGAGTGGTAATCTTTGCCTTGAACTCCTGAGCTGGAACTCATTTTGTCTGGTTCAATTCTATCCTCAAATCTAAATGTGTGTAATGGTTAGGAGAGCCACATAGCAATTGATTTGCTACGCGGCTATTTCTTGCACATCTCCGCCGATTGCATGCTGACTGAGTATTGTCACTCAACTAGTATCAGCTAGGCGAGAGGACCATCTATGAGGGATAGATGTCGCTGTGATCAACGATTTCTATCAAACACGTCGTACATTTGCATATCCAGAGCTGATCGAACGTCATTCCTAGCGGCCGATGTTGACAGCCGTCTGCAAGGTGTGCCGAAATTTTTTTCGTAAGCGAATTGCAATTTTGCAAATGAACCACTATAGTCCACTTTTTATAGAGGAAAGCAATAAGAATGGGGTTACCAAAAGTAGGTCTTCACTGTAAGACCTAGACTGTAAACCGCTAATTTGTTGTGCTTGAAAGTTACACTAGGCCACTTTCTCATTTCTTAGTTCCTCAGAACCCTATCATAGAAATTGATGAGAGAACAAGGATTTTTCCGAATTTATATATTTCAATGGCTATGAGATAACAAGTACTTTCATGCTCTGTCATCTGTTTGAGGATCACCCACTTTGGCATTTTCGTAGTGGCATTTATAAAGACCAAGTACGGAGACATTACGTAATAACGAAAAAAATCATGAAAAACTGCAATAATCACTCTTTAGTACTATGATGATTAAGCTTGTGCATGCTCTACCTTGTCCACTTTACTTCTTCTTACTTACTTAGAGCAGGTTCATGATTACTCATGACCTGAGAATCTTAATTCAAATTGCACTCTAGAGTAAATTACCAATCTATTTTAAATTCATTTGTACAAA